ACCTCACCCTAGAGCTCCAACCATATCCTCAGAAGGTGGTTAAACCCCCCTGGCACTCACCCTAACCACCTTCTCAATGCCAGGGTACTTCTGCATGCAAAAGCCGTCCTTTGCTGTGATCTTGGTCTCGCCGTTCTTACCCTTTTGTCCTTCGAAGGCCTTGCACGGTGATCTTCGTCCGGCAGTGTCGGGTACTATTTGGGGGGCTTATCCTGTAGGGCCTGCAGTGATATTGAGATCTCCAGAACTGGCAAAAGGAGAGCAGTTGGGGGCCCAGGAGACAAAACTGATCAGTGCCCAAAAGGAAGCCAACATCCATCCGAAAATGATGAGACCAGTGTCATGGGTCTTTCAAGACGCAAGACCAAACCCAGCATGGCTTCTATGACCTGTCTTGCACTCCCTTCCCCCAAGTCTTGATGGCGAAGCAAAATGAAGCGAAGCTGTTCAATGCATCTCTTCAACGGTTAGTTTAAAGGTGTTTTTGTCAAGCCTAAAAACATCTGAAAACACATCCATTTCACAGCCATTGTCACGGTTTTTTTTAAAAAATCGTTTGTTCAACACCGTAAAACCCACCCATCGGCTCCATTTTCACACCCTCCCATCAGCACTCTCTACCTTGAAAAAAGTGGTGTTTATCTTGCAACCCAGAAAAACAAGGTCATGGAGGCAAAAACCATGTTTTGGGTGTTCCCCAAAGATGAGACTTTGGAACATTTGGTCATACATGGTGCAAACGACGGTCGCTGCAAACAACGGTCGCACCTTGTATCGACGGATCTCCTCCAAATCCATATCGAAATGCACGGCATCGGCCGGGTATAACCGGGCGCGCAGCATGCCTGTGAGCCTCGCGGAGAGCCGAAGAATGTGGGCCAGGCCATGCGGAAAGCAAAGGAAGAGGTAGAGAGAGCGGAGAGAGAGAGAGAGAGCAATTCAGACAAAAACAGGGAAGAGAAGTGTTTTGAACATGTTCGATCCTTTTCGATCCTCATAGCTCACCTCGCCCAAGCCACCCGACCGCTCTTTTCGATGCCAAGAAATATAATCTCCCCGAAAGAACCGGGCTTCATACGGCCAAATCCTCTGCCCCAATCTGCTGGAAGATCGCTCTGTCGTCAGCACCGCAAACGATGAGAGACGACGACGTGTGAAGTGTTCAAGTCTTGGGGGCCATCGGGAAAACTGCCAGCCATGGCTGGCAGCCCATCGGTCTTAGTTCGTCGTCCACCTCCAAAAACGCCCTCGAATTCAACAAAACGTTGTAATTTAATGGCCTTTACCAAACAACCATTCCCAAACACTCCATGTATGGTATATTTTCCTACATTGGGGTGGTTGGAGAGGTCAATGTAGGTATGACAGACATGGAGTGTCTGGGATTGTTTTACTAGGGATTTTATGCTTACAGAATCAGATCAAACAAATCCTTTTGATTTGAAGGCTAGGGTACGCCTATTAATATAACAATAACAACCCATTCGGAGGAGTGATCATCCAGTAACAGCACTGCGCCGCGGCTTCGCCGGGTGATGCCTGGGTCGAAGGGTGAAGCTCGAGCCATTCTGCCTTGGCTGAAGAAAAGCAACCAAGGATGTTCATTGAATGCCATTATATAAGCTATCATAGATGGCCTCAATTAAAATAGCCTCCACGTTTAGTAGCACTCAGTCGCAGGCCAATCTATATGGCTCCACATACCGTACCCTCTCAGAAGGTCAAGGGAGACATGTTTACAGCATGGAGGGTCCATCTCAAGATGGCAGTGGATCCCTATACAGAATGTAAATCTACATGACGGCCTTCACTCACCAGTCGAAGCCTTCCAACTCCCTCGGAAGAAGACGGTCTGACAGCAAGGAGTCAGTCACCGGTGCATGAACCCATTGAAAGGGGATAGAGAGAGAGAGAGAGTCCCAAACCGTTCCATTTCAGCAGGGAAACCACTCTACAAAACAGTGACTTGCAGGTGAACCACCTGATCGTCCCGGTTTGAGAAGACCTTCCAACACCCCAAGGGCCCCAAGACCGTCTCGTGCCACGCTGCCCCAGCTGTCCCTTCGCAGTGTCTGACGCCATGGCGCTGAAATGTTCACCCTAAAAGGATGTGCCACGATAAAGGGAGGACGTGCATGCTGTCCACGTCTAGGAATTCCAAGTGTACCACCCGTGTTCCTTTGCAGCTTGACCTTCATGTTAAGCTTGAAATCCATTGCTCCAGAATCCAGAAGATGCATTTCGACTGTTAAAATTAAAGCCCTGTTGCATTGCCAACATGCACGCTGCACTCCGCTGCACATCCATCCCATCGTCAAACATATGAGCTCTAGTACTCTGAGGTCTGTTTCGATCTTGTCGGCCTACAAGACGGTCTAAACCAGCTGGCGCAGCACGGCATCAGGGCAGGTTATGCCTCATGCACTCATGGAACAGTTTGGCCTCCGGAACCAGCGGTGACTGGTCCTCCTCCGAGCGTGGCTCAAATGAAGAAGGGTTGGACAGCTTTCTCCCACTGACGAAGGGTTCTCCGTGGACCGGGCCGTTTCCGCTCGCTGTCTGATCATCCGTTCCATGATCATCCGTTGAAAAGCCCGGTTCAACCGATCATCTAGACCTGGGTGACGGTGAAACCTCGAGACCTGCCCGTCGACGGGACACTCGACACGGCCCCGAGTGTAAGTGAACGGGTCAGGGGTCGAGGGGTCGGACCAATCTCTATAGGACTTTGAGGGACCAGGCAAGGGCGTGTTTCACGGAGCGTCTGGGTGATCCAGTTTCTGTTGCAAGTGAGGGTCCAGTTTCTGAGTGATCCAGTTTCTGAGTTCCACAGTTCCACAGATGGACCCGGTCCAAAAGCATCAGTGAGGGGAGCGAACCACGTACGTGACTTCGGTGTAGAGACAAAAAGAAGCAAATGCGATCCAATGAGTTGAATGAGTTCGTGTCCAAAAAGCTCAGAAAAAGGTATAGAACATACATGGTTTGCCCATGATAGATCCATCTGAAGAATGGGGATGCAACCCGGTTGACTGGTCGAGACCCATCGCCACCGTTCACACCACGTATTCAAGAGTTCGATGGTCTTGTATAGTCCAATCATGGTGAGTAAAACGACGGTTCTTGGACTTTGTATGACTTTGTGACCTTTTCAAACGAGATCCCAGTGGCTGGCGTCAGCTCAACAGTCCCAGTGGCTGGTTCGCTCACGTTCCGAGACTCAGGTCCGCCCAGGACCGCCCATCCAGGTCGCGGGGGAAGCGGCGGTTCACGACGCAGCGCGGAGGTGAAGCGCGGGCGAACGATCCACCTGACCGGGGAGCCGTTCGGTGGGCGCACGACCGTTCTCCAGCCTGGGGGGGGAGTGGTAGGGGTTTTCAGGGTCGGTTCTCAGAAACCAACACGAAGTTCGGTGGGTAGCTGGGATCAAGATGGGAACAAATTTCCTGCACAAGCTGCCAAAACCTCTTTTCAATCCCGTGGTCATTCCCCTTTACAGACGTTCATTCTTCAACAGTACAGGGCTCCAAATCCACCCACGAGACTCACGATATAGGGTTCCAAATGGTCATAGGATGTCATAGGGATTCCCATAAGTCAGTGCTCTCCAATAGGATCCAGTCTGTGAGTTCTTCCTGTCCTCGATCGGCTTGTCAAAACGGATTGGAAACTCCCTGGAAGACTCCACGGGACAGGAAGTGACTCGCCTACATTGACTCGCTGTTGCATCAACTACCGCAACCCATCTGTCTCGGCTGCCAGTTCCATCGATTGACCCCAGCTTCCCGGCGGATCCAGGCAAACCCCGATGTAGGTGGTGGTTCCAACGAAAAAGACCGACCTAAAACAAACTGGTTCCTTCCTACTGCTGCCTGCCTAAACCCTAAACCCTAAACCCTGCTGCCCGGGATCCACTGCATGGGATATCTTTTTGGTCCTCTTGCCCCCCAAACATCCCCAAACCTATCAATCCACTGCCGGAATCAGTTCAAACAGGCGGGAACTTCATCGACCCAAAAAGCCGTGACGTTCAAATACCCGGAACACCATGGAACACCATCCTACGTACTAAACATAGTGACTAGGTACTTGACTTGACCCCAATGTTCCGATGGAGAGTCGATCTAGGTATACTCTCAACATCTATAATTAAACCATATGCGCCGCTTGAGACTATCCCAAATGTATCCCGCTGTATCCCGCTTGCAGGGATGAAGGACTCGGGTCAGTTCCTGCCTTCGGATGTCTTTGGAAACCAGGAAACCAGTTTGCATGATATAGTACAGTATAACATTAAAAATGTATAAACCATCATTGACACAACCATACGAACAAATCATAGTAACCGTATAAGATGTAATTCCTACATCTCGCTCAAATAATGAAGCCCATTTGTTTCAAGGACACTCCTGAAAGTTTTGATCAAGTGATATCAAACGACTCCTGGCTCTGGCGCTGGAGCGCCATCACGCGCTCTTTTCCGTCGCCACGCAGGCCACGGCCACGGCCACGCAGGCCGCCTGGGAGAGAAACCATGACCGATCCGAGAGCACATCCGGACCGGGCCCTGACTTGGATGTGCTCAAGGAAACCCTTCTATCCTCCAAAAGGATGTACAATGGATGAAAAGCCAGAGGAAAAACCAACCAGGCTGGAGTCACTCCCTCACCCTAAACACTCCATGTCCCAAAGGCTCCAGGAGCATCCGTTTCGAGTAAACGAGTTCGACCATGCTAAGGAAGTAATTTGAGCCTCAAAGACCACCCTCAGGACGTACCCAAACAGAACCGTGGACCAGTGTCTCCCAGTCATCAGTCTTGTTCTCTCTCTCTCTCTCTCTGTATATAATATATAACATACATTAACAAATCTTGCAATTCTGCTTCTTTTGTACTAGCAGCAATATTATATGTGTATACTCATGCACGCACAGATATTGAAGACCGGTTTGTAATTGAATGTTCACTTCAGCACTCAAAAGATGGCCATGGCCCCCCGTCCTAACTGCTGCCCACCACGCAATCCTCCACGTCACGCTTTCCTGGAGTGGTCGATGTTTGGCTCCAAACAGCCCAACCCCTCAAAGACCTAGGGATTGGTTCGACCTCAGACCCCTCCAAAAGAGGGACTCAATGTCTCCGCAATCGGGTCCAGGAGCATCTACTGTAGGAGCATCGGGTCCAGCTGTTTTGCCCAAGGCACAAATAAACAAATGGACATGTCTTGGAATTGGGAGAACCCGAAAATTGTGCCTGGACCTTGCATGTCTATCTGTCCATCTACACATGTCTATGTCTACCTTTTTCCGCTACCCAAAGGTCTAACGGGTGCCAAATGTTGTTCTGGTTTAACTGGAATCCCCAGGTGGCCAAGGTCTCCACATACCTAGACCAAAAAGGCCCACAACATGTGTACATGCATATCTGATGATGTCTGCTTTGGCACCTGTGAATTTTGGTACACGCACACAACAAATTAGCATGTTTTCGGAAATCCAGGTCTGCCCACCAAACAAACACCAGTAAATAGAGATTCCAGGTCTGCCCTCCTCACAAGGAACGAGGAGTCTGCCCACCCCAATCACGAGGTCGTTGGCGCCCAATCGGATCTTTGTTCCAAGAGGGCGCAAACAACACCCTCTGGGTTAGATATTGCAGCATGATGTATACTACACCAATTCGACAATACTTACACTAGCTTCAATACCCAAATGCTCCATGCAATGTAGACTCTGGATATCTCTGGATTAAAGCCCCCCCATGTAAGGAGGTTGTTCAATTCAATTGGCTGGGGTTATTAGGGATCCAAGTACCTCCTCAGTTTCGGTATGACTGGACCCTGAGGTTCGGTACGACTGGAGGCTAAACGGGGTTATTAATCAAGAGTCTACATCAGGCAAGTACGGCCAGTCCCATTCATCACCCCCTGGCTACACCAGTCATGCAGGGTCCACGATCCATCCCCGTCCCAGACGAGCCGCGTGAGCTCAAGGCTTGGAGGGCTTTGGATGGATGGAAGCCGTCCACTGAACACGAAGCAGTCCACTTCAAACACATGCTATGTAAATGGATGTATATAAATGGCACATGTTTCTACATTGGGGTGGTTGAAAAGGGGGTGAATGCATGCATACCAAATGTATTTCAACGCATGGAGTGTGGATCCCTTCTCCAAACCGTCGGATGAACTCGGCGCACTAACACATCCAATCCACATAAACAAATAAACCAATTCAGTGGATCCCAGTTGCCACTAGTAGTCAGGAACCAGGGGCCTGACATGGCCCCTGGTTCATAGTCGTCCGGTCTACGGTTTAAGACTTTGGGAGTATCAACTGAAACCAGCGGCATGCCGGCTGAAATCCACTGAAAACCACCCCCGGGTCACCTCCGAACCCACCGCACCCACGTCTAAACCGTCCCCGGTGAACGGTCGGTCCATCGTCGCGGAGGATGAGCTCACGGAGTTCGGTGAAGGCCGGGCGCATGGCGTTCCGGACCTCGGCGGCGCATGGCGTTCCGGACCTCGCCAAGCACTGAAGCCGGTCACGGCCGGTCACGGCCGGCTTACCGAACGAGGCGGAGAGCGGGCAGATGGGGTGAGATGGCAGAGCGGTTTTGGGAGATGATTTGGACGCCCAGGTTCAGAGGCACCTCTGGAGAGACCCTGAAAGAGGCCAAAAAGTGTTGAAGAAAGACACAGAAAGTGTATAGCAGTGTAGGATGGTGTATAGCCATGTCTGCGATGTCCACAAGTTATGTGAGTGGAGTTTGGTGGATGTGGGACAAAGAGCGAGGAGATCGGCGCAGTTGAAGCACAGGAAGCCTCCTACTTTGAGAACGATGGTTTAAGATCGTTTAAGTAATTCTAGTCAAAAACACGGGCGAGCGGTGTCAAAACATGTCACAAAACTTTTGGATTCTTTGGGAGACTTTGAATTGAGTGTATGTTGTTCATCCTTGAGCCCTGGCTCTTTGGATTGCAATGAAACGCTAAACTGCTGCGGGTGGTAAATTCAGAACTTGTGATATTTCACCCCGGATGTTAGTTGTCAAACTCGTTGAGGTTCAAAACCCCAGACCATCCATGAGATAGGCCGATCAGGCCAGGGGTGCTTGATGTCAGGAATCTTTCTGGGGCGGCACAGATTACACATACATGGAGCGTCTGACATATCCTTCAATAGTACTGCGCTTGTTACTAGTACCTATATATAGTAGCTATGCCAGGAGCTACGTTCGTAGCTTCTTGCTCCGTTCGTAGCGATGCCCTTACTAGCAGCATCTAGTAGCTACCTGTTTAATGAACCTCCTTCACTTTCGGACTGTTCAGATCCTCCTCTCCTCTCCGAGCTCAGATCCGGACGTCCACGGAGGTCTGCTGGGACTCGAAGGGTGCCCATAAGGCGTCCACGAAGCCTAACCTGCTTCGCACCACGGTGTTCGACCCACGAGCTTCGGACGAACGTGTCGACCCACTGTGTCGACACGACGTTCGACCGGCGACAAGTATGGAGCCACATGTGGAGCCACGCTGTGTTCGTGTAGGGTCCCGTCAACCTGGCTCCAGTGCCACATCCGAACAGAAGGCATACTGAGAACCCCAATGGCAGCCTCCACCCCCAACCAGCCCGATCGAAACGGAGGCAGGCCAAAAGCCCAAACGGGAGGGTGTTCCAGCCAGGAGAGCCGCGATTTCAGAAGGTGCTGGGAGATTAACCATGTTCTGTCGAGCCGCCGAGCAGATCATAATCATGCTTTGGTGCCAAACGAGGCACTGAGCTGCGCCAAAACAAGTCGCATGAACAAACAGGTCAGTAAAGAGCAGCAAACAAGAAAGCAAAACATCTTCATTCACACAGCATTCACACTGACCCCATCCAAATCCAGCTTCCATCTGGCCCTTGCCGTGTTCTTGGACATCACCAGACTCGAGAAACATTTTGGGCCGGTAGGCCCCTCCCTCTGCGGCCGAAGAAGCCGATTCTCAAAGCTCCAATAGGTGTGGTGCAGCGTCACGGAGGGCTGCGTGCTAATGGCAGTCCACCACCAGCCCGAGGGAATCCTCAGTCCACTCCATGGAAGCGAAGATGACCCGCATTGGGGTGGGTCTATAAAATTTAAGTAGTGAACATTGATTTGACCTACATGGAGCATTTCGGTATGGCTCAGGGAGTGAAGATGCGTGAAGGCCTTTCTGGTGCAGTGGGAAAACTTTCGAACCTTCAAATTATTTGTCTGCATGCAGTAGTGTCCTGGTGATGGTTCCTATACTGTTGATGGACAAAATCCTGCACCACCTCAACACTTTACCCTGGAAGGGTCGCATAGCAACCCCCCGCGCCCCCTCGTTCAATATTGGCGCGAACCCTCTGAGGAGGTGGTGCAGGATTTTGGACCCTCAACTTGTTTGTGTTTTCTCACTGTGGTGGCCCCAATGTTAACGAGGGAGAACGAGGGCAGCAAGAAAACTGTGCACAAAGTGGTGCAGGATTTTGTCCATCAACAGTATGTTTTGGGGGGGTAACTTTTATGTAGGGCTGTGAAACTCAATCTTTGGCTTGAGTTTTGGGCCTTTGGAACACTGGACTCCGTTGTGCCAGAGTACACATGGCGCAGAACCCATATGTTGGCGATAAACAAAATCATTGTGATTTGAACTCAATCACTCAATCACTACATGTATATAAAGGAGTCATTTCAATGGGGCCCCCCCACCCATGTGTGTTGTCATGCATGTGTGTTTGCCCTGAGTGTCTCAGTCGTGAAGGCCTGTAATGCAGATCAAAACATGACCAAACGAAACATGACCAACAAATATACCAAAAGCATCATATTCAATTCTTCAATACGTACCATTTCTTCGATTCGTTCGATGCTTCGCTGGAAAAACCCAGTCGACTGGTAGACGGTTCCACCGGTGCGGTGGGACCGTCTCGTTCCGATCCTGCCAGTCGTGGCCGGGGAACACCAAGGTCTTGCCTTCGCCAAGGAGGGACACCAGCGCATTGCACTTCGAGAAGAGCGGATGACGCTTCCTGTTCTGTGCGGTGTGAGCGGGTGGTGGTGAAGGTACAGGTGAAGGAAGAGCTACTATGAGCACGAAGGTTTAAGGCAGCAAGCAGTAGCATCAAAGAGGTTGGAAGTGTGGACTACCGTTCTTTTGTTTTCTTTTTTTTGCAGGTGACATATCTCTGAAGCATCCATGTGGAATAAATTATTATAGTCCCTAGAAATCCAAGTACCTCCTCAGAAAGTACTTGGACCCCCCCAAACCTACATAACACTGTCTCCAATCACCTTCTGAGAAGGTACTTGGATCCCTAGGGAGTGACCTTACTAAATAGAGTCAAAAGGGGTGTAAATCATGTGTATAGAATATAGACATTTCCTGATTCCCATCTTTTTGTTGACGGCTCATGCCTACATAGCTCCAAGCCAGAACAAGATTGGCGGCTTGGGCTGTCACTACTATGGACGGTGTATAGAATATAGACCCTGCAAGTCCAAAGACCCAGTAAAAGCTTAAGGGTCGAACATTCGGGTTCCAGGGACCGACCGGAGATTGGAGAGGTTCCTGGACCTGAGAAAGCATCTTCGGGCGATGGATCCACCAGTCCACCGTCTTCGGGGCTCAAGTGACTCTGCAGTGGTGATGCAGAAAGCCTGTCACGCTTAGCACGTGTCACGCTAGCCCCCCCATTCCATGGATCATTTGTGACCCACACGGTTGCTGTTGGTCTGTTGACCGTGTGTTGACTCATCATGTCCGGCTTTGAGTTACTCCGCCCTTTTTGAGATCTAAACTATATATGGCCAAGTGATGCCAAGTGGACAATGTAAGCACAAGTTGTCATGATTCTCTGGCTGCGGTCCTACATCTTCGGATGGCATTACTATGGATTACAGCACAAAAATCAAAAATATCCCTAGGGCTCCAAGTACCTTCTAAGAAGGTGTTTGAGGTGGGTTTAGAGTCCAAATACCTTCTGAGGAGGTACTTGGAGCCCTAGGGTATATACGTATTATGTAATCTGTTTCATTTAGAAACAGCTATATAAAGCATTATAAAGCATTGCTTTCACCTTCTGTGATCAAACGGCCACCCCTCCTCAGAGGACTATATAGTAGTGACATGTAAGGACCTGACATCATGACCTCAACTGAATAACCATGGCCTCCAACCTAATAGCAACGGCCTCCCTCGCCGCCCAGCTTTCGACATCAACACGTTCCTGAACCGGGCCCACGAGATCGGGCGGACCCTCCGTCGGGTGCTGTTGAACATCTGACATGCACCCATTTTTCACAAACCAAAACACACGTACCTAGCACTTCCTGTCTGGGTGCCCTGGGCATGGAGACCGGTAGGGTGGTAGCACCTGGTGACCCGTTGGAAGCACCTGGTACCTGTGGTTCTTCAATTCGTGTTCGCTCTTGATATCACAGATGCTTCGGCCACGAGTTTCGGCCGAACTAAGTTCGGTCACTGGCACTTGTAAACGTCACCGAGTGTTCGCTTCGCTGGTGTAGACGGTAGACGTTATACCCTCATCTGCGTTCTCCGGAGACCTGGAACTCCGAGATCACTCCCCAACGTACAAGCCCGTTAGGGCGACTTCACCCATACCCTCAGGTTCGGTGGTTAGGCACCCACCAGAACCATCTTCGAAACGGAAGTAGGCCAGGAGCCCGAACGGGAACCTCACCAAGACACGAGCTGGGGAAGAAGAGGTTCACCTCGCTGATGTGCGTGGCATACCCGAAGCTCCCATCGGAGCGGTGTTCGTCCAAGCCGCCTGGTATAACGGCGCGGAGACCCGGCGGGGGGTGTTTCGGGTGATGGCCAATTCACTCCATGTCTGTAACAAATGCCGATATTGACCTCTGAAACCACTCCAATGTAGGAATATAAATAGATGCTGTACATGCAGTGTCTGGGTGTGACTTGCCTTTGCGCTTGGCTGCGCGACTCCCTGCGTGGGTCGCAAGATTCCATGGATTTGTTTTACTATTACTACCAAAACCAGGTCAACCTCTCTTTTTGTATGGCCTTTGAAGGCAAGGGTTTATGGATGTTTATGGTATGCTCATAGGTGCTGAGCAATACCTCCATGTGCCAGGTGAATCACTCAAAGTGTCAACAGGTCATTGATGTGCAGTAATGAATCCGCTTATAGTCGAAGTCCAAACCGCTGTCTGCACACCTACGAGCTCGTAGATATTCTCCGTGTCCTCCGGCGGGAAGAGAAAAACCAAGCGTTGGCCTGACAAGCACTGTGTCGCAAGACCAGGTTGCGACATAGGGGTCCATTGTACACAGCCAAATGCCAAAGCCCTCTGATCTTGTTCTGGCACAAATGCTGATACTCGATGATACTCGGAGTAGTAAAGTATAATTGTTGCAAGAAATGACTTGATGGGTGCACCAATGCACACCATCAGCAAAACTGGGGGGTCATACATGTGCTGGGGTGGAAAGTCACCTGGGGGCGCAGGTTTAGTCACCGAGACAGGCACGACATTAACTCCGGTACCCAGTCTGTGAACGATCCCTACGGATCCAAGTACCTTCTCAGAAGGTGGGACTGGGGTGGGTGCCAGGAGGGTCCAGGTGCCTTCTGAGAAAGTACTTGGATCCCAAGGGATGTTCAATAATAAGGCTTTCTCAACGTGTACTTGTCCCTCCAGCTGGACGCCGCCCAAGCTGAAAGCTGGAGCAAAACCACTTGGTGGTCCACTGGTGATCACCACTGGTGATCCGTAGTTCAAAACCATTCCCAACAAGACTACACACCCCCAATTCAAATCACCATTCCGAACTCCAACTCCAAACTATAGAGATATTCACAACGTGTGAAATGCATTCCCCAAACGCTCCTGGACCCAAATCCTCTGGAGACCTTCGGTCCCGAATCCTCGGAAAAAAAGGGGTCTGAGGTTTCAGTCTGGCTTGCGGGATTGCGAGCTGGGCGTCGCGTCAGGGCCGCCAGGGTCAACAAGAACTTCATACCACCGCAGTCACTTCCAAAGGAGTCGAACATTCGCCAACAGTCTGTGGCCCCTCGAATTTCTGCTCCCATGCCCCATGCCTTCCATCTGAAGCATCCACTCCTGGGGGGCCAAGGACCAGGGTCGGCCAGCCGAGCCAATTCCAAGCGAGTGGGGGGCAGTCCCCATTGCCGAGCCGGTGGGGTATCCGAAAAGAAGGCTGGTGAGGTGGGACCCAGGATCAAAGATCAAAGGAACCAGGGGCGCGACCGTCCTGTCTATGGTTTTAATATATTTTGGTTGAAACATGTTGAAACCATTGGGACTACCAGCTATAGGTGGTAACTCCACTCACTGGGTAGGTGATATATAGGTGGGTTCAGTGCATGTCAAGGTCCAGCTACCAGTTGGAGTGGATTGCTCTTTGTTCACACCACAGCTTTTGACTCGAACATCCGAACATGAAACTCCTTGATCCTCACATGCTCCGACACACACACACACAAACACACCACTGCCTGGAAGCCTGGACACTGCCTGAAGACGACACCTTTCCGTGCCTCCTCCCAGGCCCAGGTGCTCCTGCGCTTGATGATTGATCCGGTGTAATCGACTCACAGCTCCTGGCGCGAGGGAACTTAAGGGAACTCGAGGCCAATGGGGGAGACACGGACAACCAAAGCGTCTGGACAACCGTGACGGCTGGTTATCGATTCCCAGGAAGGCTGGCTGACAGGTCCCCACGGGGTCTAAGTGCACATGCCCCATCGCCCCCCAGCTCCAGGGTCTGGCAAGTCCGAATTGTTGACAGCGGAAGTACGGCAGCCCCATGGATTCAATGCCACCCCGGAACTCCGAATGGTACGGTTTTCTGTGTTCGACACTTTGACATAGGCGGTCGGTGCCAGGGTCGGGTCCACGAACGATTTTCTGCACATTCCCTACATATAGTAAGGTAAGAGGTGAGCAGCAGCACAAAAAATATGCTTGCAGCAACTGACTTGCCTCACTTGCACAGGCTCACGGAACCATTTTCGCTGCAAATCGTCCCTCTAACCTTCCAACGCATCGAAGCTATTGCATCACTTCTACCCTTCCCACCCCCAATCGCTCCAATGACTCCGAAGTGCAAGCGGTAGAATTGCGCCAGCCTCAGCTTTGTGGGCACTTCTAAACACTGCGAAGAAATGAATTGAGGAAGTGTCCCAAACCCTCGCCGTGGAGCTAAGTTTCACTCAGGTGCGGCAGTGATGGAGCTCCGAAGGCGAAGTGAAGTGAAGTGTCCCAAACCCAGAAGGCATATGCTGAGCGAAAATGAAAGCGCATGGCTGGGACACGTCCCAATCACAACAATCCCATTCTGCGTGTGAGCAGCTGTAGCCCTTAAGAGCCGGTTGCCCCGGTGCGTGCCCCCATGCCTGGTAGCTGTGCTTGTAGCTATCCAGTTTGGGTGGTGTGTGGGCATAGACAGATGTTTCGTAGGTTATGAGCCCAACATAACGCTTGTGTGGATGTTCTTGGATGGAATCATCGGCGTGTGACAAGCTCGTGGGCGGCACATGGCATGCGACGTGCAGATGGGCGGTACTCGGTGAAGGCATGACAGCTACTGCGGTGTGCAGGGTGTGGCAAGCTACAGCGGCATGCGATGCATGTTCAATTCATGTGGCTGGGTGCCTAACAGTCGGTGCGGTGGCTTATGCCCGACGGCCCAGTGGTGTGGACACAATGCACTCTGCTTACTTGAGCCGCAGAGTGGGGGGAGTGCGTGTGAGCAGCTGTAGCCCTTAAGAGCCGGTTGCCCCGGTGCGTGCCCCCCATGCCTGGTAGCTGTGCTTGTAGCTATCCAGTTTGGGTGGTGTGTGGGCTTCGTAAAAGCAATCCCTTTCTGAGGGTGGGCTACTCAGGCTACTATTGACTCCCCAAATCAACTCCCTCACAGTGCCTCACAGTGTTTAATGTCACCTAGCCGTTTCCAGCTGTTCTTAGTCTTGGTTGCCCAACCAACCCCAAAGGGTGCTGCAGAAAGATTTTGCAGACATTTTCCGCTCTTTTGAGTGGGCGAACTCTTTGCCTGCCTAAATCCTCAGTGCTGATTGGATCCTCATGCACTCAGTCCGGCACAGGTTTTCGCTTGTAGAAGTGACTCTGTCTAGTCCCACGTCACAAACGGTCGGCCATGTCACAGTCGACCTGGTCCGGCTAACCCCCCAGAGAATCCCCTCAACGCAGGTCCTGCCACCAACCACACTCCAAAAACCGACTGGTTACGATGCATTCAGCGGACCCCAAAACCTCGTCCCGATCGATCTTCCAGTGCTTTCGAGTCGCTGATGGATCGGATCCTGCTCAAAAATGGAGCCATAGAACCTGGGCGGACAAACAACCGGAACCCCCAAGGTCAGGTGGAGATAGGGTCGGTCAATGCCTTCAAGGGGAGATTCTCAATACTTCACCTAGGTTTTCGGGTTGCCCTGGTAGGATATACTCATTGAAAAAATGAAGCTGGTTCTTCAAAGTGAGCTTTTGATATCACAGTTTGAGGTCACTTGAGCGGTGTTCAAAACCAAAGTTAGATTCCTTTCTACTAACACAAGTCTTTTGCATAAGCTTACGCAGCACTTACGCGACTGCAGTTTTATCTTTCGCGCAGAAGGTGTATTTGAAAAAACACTTGCGCGGCGCTTACGCGGCGGATTGGTTGAAGCAAATGTGTGCAACCTTTTTCACCAAACATCGTAGGCTCTCAAGCAGTAGGAAAATACTTTTTCGCAGAGCTTACGCGACATTACTTCTCAAGGACTCTTTCGCTCAATGCTTTCGCAAGCTTTCGCAATCCTCAGTTTTTCTTTCGCAAAGACTACGTTAGTTTCATAGCCCTATTCATTCTTTACTTGGGAGTTCTGGACGCTGCACACTTGGGCCTGTAAAAGGCCAACGCAGCTGATCAATCATCCAATAACTGAACGCAAGTCATCACTGGGCATCGATTCAAGTTCACGGCAAGTTCAGCCTTCAACATGCCGTGGTGTATCAAAAAACCATTCGGACTCCCCAACCCAACGAACACACCACTAGCCTCCCGTTTGATTGCCCCCAGCGCCGACGATTCTGCGAACCTGTCCATTATTACCGAATCCTCGGCGTTCCGAGATGCTCGCACCAGCGGTGTGTGAGGTCTTCAACTCCCGGTGGTGTCCAGGTGTGCCAGTGATCTTTGAAGAAACCTCGGCGGAGTGTGATCCAGTGATCCGGAAACCCCGGAACCGGCGCAATCGAAACGAAACTGGAAGCCACAAAAACACCCAACACCCGGTGGCAGGGAGTTGTGGCACCAAGAGGAGGTTCTTCGTCATGAGGTGTTTCTACTGATCTGTGCACTGCGACGCCTGTTTTGGTCTTTCAGCCAAGCGGGGGTCTTTGGAGCTGCGGTCGACCCAGCGCAGCAGGTTCACCCAGCAGGTCCGAAGTGTTCATCGGGATGGAAACACATTGGGTTGAAGTTCCAGCCGCCCAGCCTCACAAATCCGACATTTGTGTGGTTTCCACCCCGAGTTTCAGTGGTTTTCCACCATCTACAGTGAATCGATTGTGAATGGCGGTTTAAGCCGTTCCTCTAGAATTTGTGCATCAGGGTTTGACACTGCCTGGTCGTCCTCTCCACGGCATAGGCCCTTCCATTGAAGGAAGCTGGACTGAGGGCGATGGAGATGCATGAAACAAACAGGTATCAGGACCCTCCAAGTGTCTATAAATAGCCTCTTAGAGGTTTTAGAGGTGTCCAAAAAACCAGAAAACTAGAACATTGGCCGACTCTTGAAGTCACGCGGGGGTGATATGAAGACTATGTTTTCTTTTTTTTGCATTGATGCAAACTCCACCCCTCCAAGGCACGGCTGCATGAACTCACGAAGGGGCAAAAATCACCCACCTGTGTGGGGCGACCGGAGGATACGTCCGTCAGACGCATCATTTTGGGGCTGAGGCATGTTGAGGCGACGTGTGGACGAACCTGGACCCAACTTGAAAACATCATAATGGGATAGGACTGGACCCTCTAAAACTAAATCCTGGCAAGAGACCCCGAACAGTGTGTTTGCCCAAGGTCTAGAGGTGTAGAAACAAAAGGTCTAGAGATAAAGAGAGGTTATGGTGGTGATGAGGGTGGAGATCGTGGTGATGGTCGTGGTGATGGTGGTGGATGGTGGTGGTGAATGATGGTGGTGGTGATGATGGCGGTGGTGAAGGTGGTGATGGTGGTGGAAAGGTGATGAAGATAGTGGTGATCGTAATGGTGGTGAAGGTGGTGACGACGGTGGTGGTGGCGATGGCGGTGATGAGGATGGTGGTGATCTTCACCCTTGACCTTGAAGCTTCCGTTGTGGAAAGAATGGGGTGGCACGGTGGCACCATCTGGGACAAAGTCCTTCCAGGATCTTCCAGGTCAGTCCAGCAGTGAGAGCACTGGGCAAAAAAATCCCGACCTTCCAGCACAAAAGTGATGGTCGGCAAAGGCAGGCTGGATGACCCAGCTTGATTGTTGCGTATGAAGCTGAGAAGGTATGCAGCTGCGTTTTTTCAAAAGCCATGGCTGAACACATAGACATGCGGGGCTCGCAAGGTTTCCTTTGCCTTCCAATTCAGTGGGAAGTGGGGGTGGTTTCCCCTCCCTTTGCATGTTGCCAATGGCGTTTAGGCGGTTGAGAATGATTTTTACAGAACAGTTGAAGGTCGGCTGAGAAACTTTGAGCACAGCCAATTTTCTTGGCCAAGAGCACAGGGTCATTTGGGAGACCAGCATCCACATCATCAAAAGCAACCTCCGGCGCACAGAGTTTCACCATGTCCCGGCGACCCAAGCTCAAGCTCCACAGCCTCGATCTCATTGTGTCGCGACTTGAGTTCCGCCATGTAGTCATTCTCGAGTTCGTCTGACCTTAAGCCCTTGCTGCTATATTTTTGACCATGGCTCAAACTGGTACTACAGTAGGTCATGGTGGTGGACTGGACCTTGCTTTTCCACACTTTCAGATCTAACAGCTTGGAACTGCATTATTGGATCTTGGTCGTGACCTGTTGTGGTGTTGGTGATGATGATGGTGGTGGTGGCAGGGCAGGTAGCGCCGGCCAGGAAATCTACACTTATAGAGGTCCACAAAGTACAGCGCCTGTTAGAAAATCTGCGCCAAGGTCCACAAAGTACTGCACCTGCCGCACTTCAAGGTCCACAAAAGTACTGCGTCTGCCACGAAATCCACACGTCGAGGTCCACAAAGTGCTGCGTCTGCCACGCAATCTGCCCTTCAAGGTCCACAAAGTACTACGCCTGCCACGAAGTCTGCGCAAAGTGCTGCGCCTGCCCTGGGATCTGCACTTCAAGGTCCACAAAGCACTGCCCCTGCCACGAAATCCACATGTCAAGGTCCACAAAGTGCTGTGCCTGCCACGAAATCTGCACTTCACGGTCCACAAAGTGCTGCGTCTGCCACGAAAACTGCACATCAAGATTCAGATCACGCAGCCCTTGCCAAGGCGATTCGCAGTAATTAAGAGCACATCCCAAGACAACATCAAGATGCCAAAGCGCAGCTTTCGCTCGAGATGTCCTCCGATTTCTTCACGCCCAAAAGTCACGCTTCACTGCACCTGCCACAAAATCCGAGCACCCGCGCCAGCCCATCAGATTCTGCGAGCTTGTGCAGTCGAAATGCGCTTCGAAAATTACGAGGTGAATGAGTGTACTGTAAATAGCAGCGAACTAGCCGGACACGGATGCGAGCACCTCCGATCAGGCACCCGTCCTAAACTCGTAAGAACCCCTAGTGTGGGCACACTGTTGGAAAAAACAGGATGGAAAATACCTCTTCAGAGGGGTCTGTAAGCCACCACTAGCTTGTAGCCCTGTTTCGCGGTGAACGGATCAGCCCCAGGGAGTGGCAGCCCAGATGGCGAGTTGACCAAACTGTGACCAAATTGACCTCCACTGGGCCTCCAACCTAATCCAAGAGAGGTATCCAGTGACCTGAACTGGGACCTTACTGGGGTACCCAACTGGGATAGTCGAACTAGGGTTCTGACACACCTCTGGATAGCAGTCGCCTCCAACCTACAAGTAGTAGCGATGGCCGCCAACCTAAAAGCAATGGTGTCCAACCTAATAGCAACGGCCTCCAACAGCAATGTAGCATGACAACAATCTTGCTAATGCTTAAACATGTATTAAGGCAAATGTTGCTATGCATCACAACATTTGCATAGATTGGGTGCATACATGAAAGCACACTTGGAGTCGCGGGGAACACAAGGAGTCGCTGACCAATTCAATGGCATGGAATGGCCAACCAAGGGACGGCCAAGCGTGGGTTCATGAAGCGTCTGGGGTGGAACAAACATCAAACATTGCCCAGTGTCGGGGTATCTGCTGGAGAACACAACACATATATTATGCCACTTCCTACTCACCAATCTTTTCAAGGTTCAACCCCAAACATCCTCAAACAGCGGGCTGCGAAAAAGGCGATTTCAAGGGTTTCAATGTCAAACACAATGTTGTATAATCATGTGTTATTGATATTATGCGTCAGGACTATACTGTATGCATTCACAGGAGCTTAAACCAATGCACTTTGTAACACTGAACCTTATCTATGAACCAAAGTACTCCTTGAACTTGTTCATAACAAATTCATTCGTATGAAAGTTCTTCACTTTTAGAGATTGTACTTTACTTGTCTCTACCCTGATCTTCAAAAGACCGTTCTATCAACAGTCTTTATACGAAAGACCTTTCTTTCGCTGCCCACGCCCGCCCACGCTCAATCCCCCTTTTCAACTTTTGATGACCATCCGCTTCCTCGCTGAGCTATTTAGCCTTAGATGTCACATTCGAATGATCAGAAAGGGGACCTGTCTAGGAACAGCAGCTCAACTTAACAGTTCATCATCTCAATGTTAAAATGTACGACAGGACATTCTAACCAAGAATCTCTTGGATCTTCCATTTCATAGACCAGATCCTTCAATGCAATTTGCCGTATGCATGTGATCCCTTTAAACCACACAACATGGCCTGAACATCGCATTTCGGAGAATCCATCGTCGTCGGCGGGCAACTGGGGCACGAAGATATGTCCCTCAGATGTGCACATATGTTGACCCCCAAAAGTTTCAATTGCGGAGCGGCACCAGTTATTTGGGCTAGAAGCTCTAGAAACCTAGCACAATCAGATACAAACAAGGCACGTTTCAAGAGGGCCATGGAGTCCTCATCTGCAAAGCAGTGTGTAAATCTTGGCGACGTTCCTGGGCTGCAGGGATCCAGAAGCACCAAGTTTGGCACTTCAACCACAGGAATCTAGTCAAGTCTTGGTCAAGGGTCTGTACCGTCGAATCTCCAATAGGTGATGTCCAAATGCCTGGTGGCATTCTAACAGGATCAGTGGGGTGCATACCCATGCACCTGTGCACACAGCAAAACATATGCAATGTACTTTCTAAATTTCTTAGCCAAGAGACATGTACCTTGGGTTTTATTATCCAATGTCTTTTGTTCATCCTGCCAAAACCGTGCCACTTTTGAGCTGTATTACCCAAGCTAGCACAACCCAGCAAACACAGTTCCAACCTGAAGCTCATTGTTGCCAGCACAAGGTGAGTTTTTGTAAAGCGATTTCCACAAGCGTAAAGCTTCTCGGATTGGGACTGATTCCTGAAACCGGCTGAAGAAAAATATTACCGGACTAGTGTTCGTTGCCAAATTGTCTTGTTGAGTACAAGTACCAATCAACACTGGACTGCAGCCTCGCCACAAGAACCTTGGATACCGTTCCATCAGGGAGAAGTATCGTGCTAATGAGTTCCTTGGCACCAGTAACCCTGCTATACAAGCAAACACAACTAACAGAGACTTGCACAAACACCACACTCACACATGTGCACTTGTGCCAGCAAAAAATCATCGCTACATAGGTGAACGGAATGCGGCTGTCCACACGAGCTAAGCCATCGATGTAAGCTTTCTCTGCACAATGTGCAAGCCACTCCGACACGCATCTCCCATTGAAGGCTTTCACAGTGAAAGCGACTTCTCCATCAGATTTGACCAGCTTAGTTGGCCCAACCATTTTGCACTGGCACGCAAAACTAAATCAGAACATGGAATTGCCAAGCAAGCCAGAAGCAACAAGTTTATTCCACAACAGACACACAGCCTCACAATTGAGGCGAGGCACCATTTTCTCAGTAAAAGGGCCTTGCCCACAAGGGATCCTGCGGTCAGACATGAAGTTCTTGAAGTGCCTATAGGCCACGTCCAAAAGTTGCTGCAGCGATTGTTGCCCACTGTCACCGAAGAAATTTGCCTCGATAAGAGTCATCCTTGGATCTTGGAGATTCTGGATGATCTAGGATTTGTTCACAGCACTCGCGATACTACTCTCCATTTTACACTTTCCAGTTCAATCGGGGATCAGTGTTGATCCATTCGCTCCGTAGCAAACTCCCAAGTTCAATACATGCATCGAGCAAAACTTTATAAGATCAGGGTGAAAGTTCCTCAACAAAATGAGGGGGGCCTCAGCAGGCAACCACAAATCATTGACCACAACTGCAGGAAACAGCATGCACAGTGCACAGATCATGGGCATGTGCCGAACAAATTGCTGTACTCATATGTTGAAGCTGGAGTACTTTCACATTTTCTCCCTGATTCTGGCAAGGGGCAAACATCAGCATCAGGCATCTCCCGTGCCAAAAACTGGAGCGCGTCATGCTGGTTGGACCAACATGGGGCGTTCTCGTCGACATGGTAGTATTGGCATTGGGGATTTCCTGTTCCTCGAGCATCACACTTGAAGCACACAGACTCCTTCACGCCCGCCTTCCAACTGCTCCTGAATCCAAACACTTGTTTGTGGAAGACCCAATCTCCAC